CCACACACACACAACAGACACAAACATGCGCTCACACGCAGTTTGCTTGCACCTACAAACACAGGCTCACAATCACATGCATGATATAAATGAACAGTAATATCATCATCATCCAGTGCTGATCTGTGACAGACATCGGCGATCATGGTTCTACATTCATTCCTTTGCTCGGTATTCTGATTGTAACTCAATGGTGCTGTTCAGTGAACGTGGTTATTTTCAACCTCAGACACAGGCGCATAAAACGATACCCGTGGCGGGAAGAAGTTTCTTTCACATAAGAATAATATGATAGCGTTAAAAAAAAATATTGCCCGAAAAGACAAATTAAGCATTGGCATAATATCTCAAGGCTCAAAGTAAATGGTATCAAAAGGTATTCACAAAACACCCACCAAAACTATTACTTTTTGTGTTGGACGAGCTTTTGTAAGGAAACCATTATTCATAGCATCCAGTTAGTAAGAAAATTTCTCTGAACCCAGCCTGGTGTTGTTACGGAAAGTACTGCGTCCACTGTTTAGAAATGAGATATTCTGTTAAATATTTAAATGTAGGTGTCTTTAACACCCCAGCAATCACAATTAAGATAATTAAGGAAGCGGATTTCCGACACTGCCTGTCAAGGCCAACCCAGCTGAGAGAGATGCGGCATCCCAGTACAAAGACTGAGACGCTCGATAAAGATTCTTCCTATTTGGGAATCGAACTTGGTTCTCACGCGTAAGACGGTGAAGTCCCTAACCAGTACATATCAGACGCTGGTTGTTATTCTATGTCTATTATTTTAACACTATTTGACTTTTTTAAATGGGCAAATAACCAATCCCCCCTTTTTATACACTTTTTAAAGATAGATTTCATTTCTGTATCTCATTTTAAAAATTAATTTCTCATTCCGTTTGGTGTTCTTGATGATTAGTGGACCATCTATTCTTCCATTCACCCATTCGATCATTAAGCACACTTCTCTACTCTTTCCTTTATGCTTCCACGTTTCCCCCTAGAGTCCGGTGAAAAGGTGAACCTGGAGATCACAGTCCTGCTGTCGTTGTCCGTGTTTCAGCTCGTCGTTCTCAGCACAATGCCACCTACCTCAGAAAACATGCCCATCATTGGTGAGGACAGAAGCGTATAGTTTTACGATCGCACTTTTTTAAAACGTTAGGTTTATTTAACTTCTCCTCTCCCCCCTCCCCCCCC